TCTATACCCCCCGCCTCCTCACTGCTTGAGGCTCTTAGCCACTACTGGCTTAACACAAATCTCTGTTGGCTATAATGGGTAGCACAGGCAATAGTTTCAACAAAGAATTTTAAAAAATGAATTCTCCAGTTTTGCTGCATCGATTTTGATATTTTTTGTGTCTATTTTGAATCCAATAGTGTTTCAGTGCAATTCTAAATCAGTGAGGTAATATTTTAGGGGTGTACTACCCAATTTGTGGAGACGGTTAGCTCGATGGGAGCTTTGATCAGTCCTGACACAATAACCTTATAGTTAGTTCAGCTTTAGAGACTTCATATTTTTAACAGAAAGCCTGCAATAAGGCAGGCAAGGATGCCGTCGGCTGCATTATGTGACATGTATGCTTTTGATCCGACTTGAACCTAAAAGTTAGGATGTCTGTCTTTTTACCTTACCTCTTGTCAGTCACCAGACTTTCTGGAAGTGCACTACTCAATTGCTGATTTATCTCTTTAAGAGATTTGCATGAAAACTCTTACCTTCTAGGTCTTAACATGCAGTAAGATAATAAGATACTCTCTCTATCTCTTTTAAATGCACAATACATTTGCTGTTGTTAGTTGACGGAAATCATTCTGTCAAAAGAAGAAAAATTTTATGTAAATGAGTCAGGGTTGAGGAGAGTACAAAGAAAGTAAAAAATACAGTATTCATTGCAAAACTATTTCTGGAATGCACCAAATGTCATGATAAGAGAGTGGATGTTTCCTTTAATATATGGTTACAATTTCCAGATTCAAGGACTCCCTTGCTTGTTCCCCTTCACTCTATTCACATTGATCTTGTCTTTATTTTACTCAGGTTTAGACTCCAGCACAAGGGCTCTGAGCACCCCAAGCCCTGGTCTGATCCAGCCATCCAAGTCTTCCTCTCTCTCCTCACCTGCCCTCTCTAGCAACGGCCATGAGACCAACTCTTCGTCTTCCTCCTCTGCCCCTGCTGAGACAGTTGCTGTGGTTCACCCTCAGCCCAGCACTCACACTCGCTCCCGCCAATCAAAAACCTACCACCATGCCCCTATTGACCTTCTCCCTGACCACACCCTTCTGCAGATTTTCTCTCATCTCCCCACCAATCAGCTGTGCCGCTGTGCACGTGTATGCCGCCGCTGGTACAACCTGGCGTGGGACCCAAGGCTGTGGAGCACCATCCAGCTAACGGGAGAGTTGCTGCATGCTGACCGTGCTATCAAGGTCCTGACTCACCGCCTGTGCCAAGACACCCCGAATGTGTGTCTGACCCTAGAGACAGTGGTGGTCAATGGCTGCAAGAGGCTCACTGACCGGGGACTGCATGTAGTGGCTCAGTGCTGCCCGGAGCTGCGTCGCCTGGAGGTCGCTGGCTGTTATAACATCTCTAATGAGGCTGTGTTTGAGGTGGTGTCCCGCTGCCCCAGCCTGGAACACCTGAACCTCTCAGGTAAAAAGAAAAAAGCTACGGTGTCTCTTCTGTGTCAGGCAGGCTTACTCAGTTTTAATGGTTACTAACTTACATGTGGATTTACCTCAAAGAGTCCCTCCTCTCTGTCCTTCTCATTCATTTCTTCTAAAGCTGGTAAAGAGTAAAATAAAACAAACTCTGCCAACCTCAAGCTCCCATGTGGGAGAAGAAAGGGTTTCTTTAGCTCAAAGCAGAACCTCCCTCAAAATGAGTAAGAGGGCCAGTCTGCAGCTTTCATCAAGCAAGTAACACAATAAACACTGACTTGGACAGGACCCCAGTGGCAGAGCTGTGTCTGCACCACTAGCATCAGGAAGTAAGACCTTTGCTGGTCAATGTCTGCTGCTGTTGTTGTGTCTCTTATTTAAAAAGCCAAAATAAGGAAATTATGTTTTTTCCCAACTGGTAAGGACACTGGACTTTGAATTTTTCCCCTTTAAAACTTACCACAACTTTGGTTTTGTTTGCACTCCAACATTTTCACGCTTCCAGTTGCAGGCACGTGGCCAAATACAGTAGGTTTTACTCTGGTGCCCTCAAGTGGTGACTCATAATGGAGTTTAGCCTTCATGAGTAAAAGTCAGCAATACTCACAAGCTCTTCACTTTCTTATTGTACCTTCTATTATAATACATAATCAGAGTGGTTTAGTTGCTGCTCCGTGAGCACAAGAGGACACCAAGTTTCTGTTTCAATAAAATAAGAAAGATTGGATGTACAAAAAGCTGTTAGCCCGTGTACAGCCAAGTATAAATTTGGGTTATTCACTACTATTTTCTGTGCCACTGATTTGCAATGGTTTGCTATGTTCAGCAGCTTCTCTAAACTTTAAGATGTGGAAGAACAAAGTCATACAAATGTCTATCCTTCAAACCAAAATAATTGTTTAAGTTATACCACAACTGAAGAGCACACAGGAGAACAGTGTCTGTTCAAGGGTTTGTACACTAATGCTAAAAAGACCTGGCTTTGGATGATACTGCTAAAGCCTCAGCTTCTGTTGAACTGTAGAGAACAGGGATTGTGGATTTTGTCCCCCATCACCGTACATAAAAGCAGAGCATTAAGACCAATATTATGAACAGGAAGAATTATTACAGCAAAACCTTTGTAATGTTCAAATGGGTACCTGATTTTTGTTTTATGAAAGGGCTAAAAAAAAATGCAAACCTCCATTAAAGCTATAGCTTGTTTTTGAGCTAACAGCCTCTCTGTCGTCCCTCAGGCTGTTCCAAGGTGACATGTATCAGCCTTACCCCAGAGGCCTCACTCCAGCTGGCCCCTCTGCATGGCCAGCAGATCTCCATTCACTACCTGGACATGACTGACTGCTATTCCCTTGAGGACGAGGGATTGCGAACTATCGCCTCCCACTGCCCCCGCCTGACACATCTGTATTTGCGCCGCTGCACCAGACTGACAGATGAAGCCTTGCGTCACTTGGCTCACCACTGCCCCTCGATAAGAGAGCTTAGTCTCAGTGACTGCCGCTTGGTAGGGGATTTTGGCCTGCGTGAAGTCGCCAGACTGGAGGGCTGCCTGCGCTATCTGAGTGTAGCTCACTGCACTCGCATTACAGATGTGGGCATGCGCTATGTGGCTCGCTACTGCCCAAGACTGCGCTACTTGAATGCCAGGGGTTGCGAGGGACTGACAGATCATGGTCTGGGCCACTTGGCTAGGAGCTGCCCCAAACTCAAATCTCTGGATGTGGGTAAATGCCCACTGGTGTCAGACAGTGGGCTGGAGCAGCTGGCTATGTACTGCCAAGGCCTGAGGCGAGTGAGTCTTAGAGCCTGCGAGAGTGTAACAGGTAGAGGACTCAAAGCTCTGGCAGCCAACTGCTGTGAGCTGCAGCTTCTCAACGTGCAGGACTGTGAGGTGTCTCCAGACGCTTTGCGGTTTGTGAGACGCCACTGCCGGCGCTGCGTCATTGAGCATACAAACCCTGCTTTCTACTGAGGCAGGGAGCTCTTGGACTGGTCCTCTGACAAGTGGATGTTCTAATATTCCTGCTATGGTGTTGGCAGAGTTCAGTGGCTGATGTGAGTAACTGGTTGAAAACTGGTGTGCAATACTGGCCAGAATTTGTTTTTTTAAATGTTCTTAGTGGCCGCTAATGCTGCCCTTTGAAAATACTTCAATAGAATGTACTGTATTTAACATATTTATCTGTAAAAAAAAACAAAAAACAGAGAAGCATTTGAGTGTGCAACTTTTTTCAGCATCAAAATTTCCAGTGGAAGAACATGCTACAACACTGAGCACTGTTTAAAAGCCTTACAAAGTATTTTAAAGGTCATCCTCACCATAAGGCCCTGAGTCATAATCATTATCATACATTACTACATCCATTTGAACCCTTAAGAATATAGCCACAAAACAGCAAACAAAGCAGGACTGGTGATTTACAATATACTCAGTTTCACTTTCTTTATGTTGTGTGCATATGTACTTCATGCAATTGTACTGACAATCACTTCAACTGAGCTCAAAGTGCCATATTGTACATTTTGTCAGTAATATTTCTGCTAATTAAAGGTGACTATTAGCCATGCCAAATAGAAACAAACTGTTATGGGATCATTTTGACAATAAACAAGAACATATTGCTGCTATAACTGTGCTGTGAAATTTCTTCTAAAATCTGCCATGTTTATGAGTAATGTAACTGGGAGTGTCAAATAACATATGCATTGGTAAAATGTGTTCTTCCCCTTTAAGAACTCAAGTGTGTGGGTACAAAGGGCAGTGTGTGCATGAAGGAAAATTCTTCTTGCTCTAAAATAGTTTGATGAATTGAACCTGGTTTTAACCTCACAGTGTGAACACATCTGTCTGGCTGCCCCAAAGGCATCATCCACATTATTCACTGTGCACTTTGGCTGTGAGAGGTAATGTCATAAACTGTGTGGAAGCACAAAAGGCAGCAAGAGGGAACTCAAATACAGACAGACAGACAGGCAGGCTGACAGGTAGAGTTTATTATTGGGTGGCTGTGGCTTAGGAGGTAGAAAGGGTCATCACCTAAACGGAGGGTTGGTGTTTCAATTCCTGGCAGCTCCAGTCCATGTGTCAAAGTGTTTGTGAGCAAGACACTGCATCCACCTGGTGCAGGATGCAGGACCACCAGACATGAGCAGAGCATGGTTGGCAGACTGGTACCCAAGCTGGGCACTGCCTGGGAAAGCCAACTCTGGAACAGGTGAAATGGGTCTGGAGAACTGGCTGCGGACTAACACACCAGTGGAATCATAGTATGAAGAAAGAGACTGAGGTGTTTTTCACTCCCATGTTGAGTGACGGGCAGAAGTGTACAAGGGATTCTTCACATATTCCAAACAGTTTTATTTTTACAATAAATAATCAGAAATTGAGGAAAATATGTGCCAACAATTTCATTCAAACATACAAAAATATGTCAAAATACATGTCATTAAATACTTTTTCTTCTTCTACAAAGCCAGTCTTCCCTCTCTGACAGACCTCAGGTACAACTAATACTGAATAAATACCCGCAAAAAAGACTCCAGATAACACAGGATGTCTTCGAGACACCGAGCAATATGGTTCTAGTTCTTCCTATCCTCAAATTGGTCACGTCATTGGTTATCTCTTTACAACTGCAGATGTACCTGACTTTCAGAGTTCACCTTTAGTGCGCAGTAGGACCAGGTAGTTTATCAAAACAGAACTGTATGCTGGTCTATTGTTCCTCTGAATGTTCTTTTGCACTTGAAGGTAGACAACAGGAAAATACCTCATTCATTTTGCACCTTTGATAAACATCCATGTCAATAGTGTTTAGGCTGTGCAGTAAGTGATATCTCTTCTTTCTTCCTTCCCCTGTCTTCCACCAAATGGGACCAAATCAGCGGGGTGGCCGTGTTACAACCACATTGAAAACTACCTGAAGATGAAGTTGTGGCGTTGTGTTCTGCAAGAGAAAAGCGCTCACTTGTAGTCCTCCCTAACACCCTCTCACTCTGTTAAAGACAAACTGATACTGTGTCATACTCCAGGACAGACTTCCATAAAGTGCATCATAAGATTAATACACAAAAACTGGGGGGGGGGGCTTAGAATTTCAATAGTTTGTTATCAAGAGTGTAACACCTTTGTAACTGGATGTGGTGATGGTTAACTGGCACCTAATTTGGACTTTTGGCTCGATTTGTGCCGGTACAGTGAAGCAAAGGTTGTGGTGGTCGAGTCCAAGTCACCTGTAAAAAACAGAGACACTAGATTTAAATCATTTTGTGTCAGTTCTTAATTTACTGTAGCAAACGTGGAAGAACATAAGCACATAAACTTCAAATCAGATGTCGTACTTGAGATTTAAGGACACAAAGCTCAGTGTGAACTTTTAGAAACCTCTTCTTTAGTTCCAGATACTTCTCCTTTAGCTTCTGCTTATCCCCACGCTCCTTTAGAAAGTCTTCCTTATACACCTCAGCCTAAAATTGGATGACAAGAAAACATGATAAAGAATACAAATGTGAATTTGACAGAGTGCACTATAGGAATACAGTAGCTGGTCTTTTTAGGAAACACCCTTATTTGTTGTGTTGTTAAAAGTGAGGTGAGAAGGTTGATACCACTCCCCATGTTAGCTTAGCTTAGCATAAGTAGAAAAACACGAGGAAAACAGCTCACCTGCCACTCTCTAAAGATAACCAGATACACCTACCAGCACATCTAAGGCTCACTAATTAGCATTTTATATCTGGTTTGTCCTAAAAACAAACATGTGAATAGAACAATTTGTGGTTTTATGGGAGCATCTGTGTCAAACTATTTCTGGACAGTGTTTTTCATTGAGCTTTTATGTGTTGTGTAGTTGCATATGTTGTCTTAGCATTTAGATTGTAAGACATCTAAAGCCAAACTCCTTAATTCTGGTAATATTTTTAACCCGTTCATTGATATTATTACCTGTTATTGTTAATGTAGTTAGCTTTTATTTTTACTGGAAGCTTTGTAGCATCTAGCAAGGGACTACAAATTACAGTTAGGCTTTGGTTTAACCCTGGTGCATTTACAGAAATATTTATCAGTACACTGCTACTGTCCCTCTGTAAGTAAAGGATTTTTAAAAAATGAGCATGTAACCCAGAAAACCACAATTTACACTTTGGTTTAAGTGAAGATATTGTGTGTTTATTAGTAAATTTTAGAGGTACTGGTAGGTGGATTTTCTTGCCTTTGGGCAGACAATCTTCTCATCTAAATCTCAGCAAGCATTTCCCAAAATGTCTAAGTATTTCTTTAAAAAGAACAAAGCTCACCTGGTATTTCCACAGATCCTGTAGTGTTTCATTGCTCACCCCCTGAGGCTGAGTGGTCTGAAGAGCCTCCTCTAGGGCCTGTACAAATATAGTGAAGCAACAGTTATAACACCATTGTTGCAGGGTACAAATGCTGTGATATACCTGTATGTGCTGTTGTGAAGTGCTCCCTCTATGCAGCAGATTTCACACCTCACCTTGTTCAGTCGTATGATCTCCTCTTGCTGATGCTGCCCTCTACGGGTCAGAGTTCTGTTCTGCACTTGCAGCTCTTTTGCCTCCTTTTCGGCCTCAGAGTTAACATCTCCAGTCTACGAAAAAATGTCCATGAGGGATAAAATGATGACTTACATTGTACAGATGTAAACCATTTAAAGGATTTCAGGATTAAAATCTGCAGGTAGCATTTACCTGTTTACGCTCGAGTGTGCTGAATTTTACTTTTTTATTGGACGTGACAGGCATTTCACCCTCCTCACACACCTTCTCTTTAAAGTGACCGTGGTTTAGTTGCAGTAATGCTTTCAAATCCCAGACCTGAGTGTTAGGTAAAGAAAAGAACACATTAGAAATCAGGTTAAGTAAAATAATAAAACAAACTGACAAGAGCTGAATAAAACAGTGAAGAGGGCTGTGTGTTTTCCCCATCCTTACTTTGTCTTTGTAGTATTGCACCATGGTTCGATACTCTTTTGCCCATTTCTCATTAATAGAAAGAAGCTGTGTAAGACAAAGAATCTTATAAGTCTTAAAATTACATGCATGTGTTTTGGGATGAATGTACGTAAATCTCAGTTCTGAAATGTGCTCACCTCTTGGTTTTGCTCCTCCAAGATCAGTATCTGTGCTTTCATTCTGATGTCATTGTCGACCGCTGACGCTCCTGACTGTGGCACACAAAAGATACAAAGAGGAACTATTTAAGTGTGGCACGGGGTATGTCTACTGGCAGCAGCTGTTTTGCAACAGCATTGTATCCACTGACTTCCTTTTACACATTTTTGGAAGTTTTGCTTTGGGCTGTTTCCAGTAACACAAAAAACACGGTCATTTCCTTGTGGTCAGAGAATCAGGCAGTGACTGTGTGAGAATGAATATTATTTTGTCAGCTGTATCTTCCAGCGTTGCATGTGCTACAGCAACATTACCTGTGTGACTTCCACCAGACCCTCAGGATGAAACTCTGGAGGTGTGTGAAGCTTTTCAGCTACGTAGTCATACCTACAGACAAATTATTAGCATGAGTCCACATTTGATCACTCAATTAAAACGGAACAGTTGGCATTATTTAGTTTTTTATGAACTAGGCCAATGAATCCTCAGAAGTACTCTGCATGCAGCAAATACTTCCAGTTAAAATTATGTGATGTGTCTCACCTCTCTGAATTTGGCAATGATGGAAACAGTCTGTGAGTCTGTTTGACGTCTGTGGGAATGGATTCTCCGACCTGTGATCTGTCCATTGTGTGCACTGTTAAAACACAGAGAGGAAGACACATACCTTGAAAAAACAAACTCATAACAGCCATTTAAAAACCCTTACTGTAGCATGAGCTTACAGTGTGCTAAAATAATTCTGTAGAATGAGTTGTATAATCTAATGCTCTCTCTACCTTTAAGATTAGACTTAAGACTTTCCTTTTTGATAAAGCTTATAGTTAGGGCTGGATCAGGTGACCCTGAGCCTTCCCTTAGTTTTGCTGCTATAGGCCTAGGCTGCTGGGGGGGCCCCATGATGCTCTGAGCCCCTTTCCTTTCCTCTCTCCATGCATCTATGTGCCACCATTACACATCACTAACTGTGTCTCCTCTCTCCCATAGCGTGTCCTCTCTCTCTCCCTGGACCTTTCTGCAGGTTGCCCTGGCCCTGGAGCTCTATGTCTCCGGCCACATCAACCTGCCCAGTGTTTGATTGTTTGTTGTGTCTTGTTACTTTTCTCTCTCCTCTATCCACTCACCCCAACCGGTCAAGGCAGAAGGCCGCCCACCAAGAGCCGGGGTCTGTCAGAGGTTTCTTCCGTTAAAGTAAGTAAATGTTTTTGAAGCCCATCGTTGAAAAGGAAATTATAGAGATAGTGAATAAATGTGGTAACAAAACATCTAGTGAGAGTGATGGTATCACTATGACAACTGTTAAATGGGTAATTGAGGGGATATACAAACCATTAACCCATATTTTTAACATGTTGTTTCGACTTGGGCAGTTCCCCAATAATATGAAAATAGCAAAGGTTATTCCACTGTATAAATCTGGTGATAAGCACAACCTCACAAATTATAGACCGGTTTCTCTGTTGTCACAATTTTCAAAAATTCTGGAAAAACTCTTTAATAACAGATTAGACACATTTATTGATAAACATAAAATCCTCTCTGATTGCCAATACGGTTTTAGGTCGAA